TCTTTCCTATCCCAACATTGATGTTGATTCCCGGTCACTGAGTTTTGGATGCAGAGCAGGACCAATCAACGTAAGTCCTCACACATGTATTACTGGTGTTTCACTTTCCTCACTCAATTGATCTCATGTTCATTGCTAGAGTGTTGTGGGTCATAGTGGATTAACATGCAGGTTGTAACAGTTCTTCCTCTTGCGCTACCCTTCTAAGAGTTACACATACTGAGGATGATACTGTGCTGGGGTGATTCCTGTCTGATTGGTTTTGAGTAGGATGTTGCACAATACGGGGACTTTTTTATTATTCCAATTGTCCAGATTTCAGATTCCCAGATCAGTAATTTATTATCAATTTGCTCATGTGTGCCTTGTTCATAGATTGGTGGACATGATATCTTTCTCCAGTAGAGAAGTAAATCTCTACAGAGAGCAATGTGGGTGAGAGTGAAAAGGATGTGCCCCAAGATGTATAGTGGCTAGGGCGTGAGGAACCGTACTCTGCAAGTCAACTGCATCCAAAACTCAGTGACCGGGAATCAACATCAATGTTGGGATAGGAAAGAGGATCGTACCAGTGGCAAGTCAACTGCAATCCAAAACTCTGCCATCTGGTGGGGGTAGAAAAAAGATAATACAATTTTCACCTCAAGTTCAGCAGGATGTTTCTTTGAAGGGATTGAGATTCCAATATGAGGTGGTTTGGATCTCTATACAACCATTTTTCTCTCTCCCTTTTGAATGTACTCCTACCATTTTCCACCAATGTCTGTGACACTTCTTTCCACACTGGCATAGAGTATACCTGGTACAGAAATGGTGCAGTCTCTCACGTATGGTCCTCTATCACTAGAATCCTACTTTTAGGGTATTATTAGGACATTTTCGAAAGGTGCTTCTTTCTTTCCCTCACACTGGTCCCTCTATCTATTCACTGTGGGATTCTAGCTATTTATGTGAGTGGAAGTAATGTACTGTATCAGAAGTTAAAATTTTCCTATACTGAAAATGTATTTCCAATAGATACTTACCCCACTCATAATTCCCACACTTCCTCCCCACTGAAACCAGCAAGGAACTAAATTGGTAACTAATATATATGTACTTTCATATTTGATAAACAATCTAAAGTTCAGATAGATTCTTTAAATTGTTTCAAAAAGAAGGTAATAACTGGTCAAAGTGTGGGATTGGTGTAATTTATCATCCTATTCAGGCAACATAACACAATAACTGATTGGTTCATCCACCAAAAATACAATAGGAAAGTCTGCGTAATTAAAAAGTATTTGTTTTTAAAACTTTTAGGAGTCTCAAAATTCAAACAAATTGTTGGATATATATACCAGGCTGTTATCTTCTAAGATCCTTTTTAAGTTTTCTAATTCTGTCAATTGTATATTTGACCACAATATTAGGTCACAACTGCAGTGTTGGGGCAATTGTCTTCCATCCTCAGGCCACTTTGACTCTTCCAGATGATTCTTGTTGCATGGCTTCTTGTTCTTCAGATGGTTCTGTAAAATTATGGGATTTGATTAGGTAAGTATAGTATGTATTCTGAAAAGCATTCAAAATGTCAGAACAACTTTGTTGTTATGACCATAAAATCTTTGTAGTTAATTCATTTTCTCCATCTGTTTTAATCTTACGTATTTGTAAGGTTTTATCTTAAGTTCTTAAGCAAAATTATTCTTTTTATTAAAATGTTTTTGTTATTAACAGACAGCTCCAAACAATTTAGTGCTTTATACATTAACTTACATTTTGCCAAGTCCTATTCAAAGATACCTATTGTAAACCTATAATACTTGTGAAATGTTTCTTCTTTTTTTTTTTTAGGTTGACATGAGTTTTTAAACATCTGTACAAGAAATGCATGTTTTATGTAGAAAAGTTCTGTGTTCATATGTAATTTGTATTTTTGAAATTTTTTCTAGTGAAAATAATATTTCATTGGTGTAAAATTATTTTTTGCTGGCAGGTGTAAAATATGATTTGTTTTCCAGATAGATATGTAATATTGTTTGGTGGCAAATGTTAAATATTTGCAGGAGATTAAATATAGCAAATCAACATTTTATGATGGCTTTTATTATAGATAAGTTATAAAAAAATTGTACTTAATCTCACAAAGTATAGTTGATTGAACTATATAGAGTACATGTCTTTTTTGGCTATATTTTTCTCAAAACAGAGAGAATAATAATTTACTCATTTATTGTTAATTATGCAAGTTACTGAATTTATTAATATGACAATAAGGTGTGATTACTTTTATATTTTAGGGTATGCATTATGTTAGCTTATTATAGTAAAGATATGAACACTGTTATAAATAAATTTGTAATATGTACATGCACCACTTCATTATTATTAGGATGTCCAATGTATGTTTGCTGTCACATGTTCATATCACGATGTCATGACATTTATTATGATACATAAGTATGTACACGTGGGAAGTAACAGCTAGCCATCATGTATTAAGCAAAAAAGTTCAAAATTATTAAACACATTGATATAGATATATATATATTTGTGTGTGTTTAGTTGTGCATGTTTTTCAACAATGACTTTTGAATTATGCTTTAGTTATTCCTGACTTGGATTGTATTTTACTTATTATTGGAAACAAATTTTTGCATGTTATTAGACAAAACATCCCTGATAATAATTCAAGATATTTGTATAACAAAAAGTTATAGACATATATGTGTTATTGTTTTAATTAAATGTCTTTTTTCAATCACGTGGTAAGTGGCTTGTGTTTAAAATTGATAGAATAATCCAAGAGGCAGCTTTAACCTTTCTGTGATATAGCAGTCTGTAGAAGTAGTATAGCACTGGTAAAACCTTAAAGTTAGCTATATACATGCTGTACTGATATTTACAAAATTGTAGCTTACTTTTCTTTACTGATTCGATAATATTAGATTATTTTCGTGCAATTTAATGAAACACTTTGCGAGATGCTAACTCGGTTTTGTATTCACATAGAAAATTGTGGAGTTGTACTGAAATAGGAAAAAAAAACAATTCACGAATCTAATAATTTCTGTTGTGAAGCAGTGCAGACTTAACTGCTTTAAATCCTACAACAGTGATATTAAAAGAAAAAATATTCTTAAATAAAAACCAGGAAAACTAAAAGATTTGTAATATTTTCCCCTTTATAACACTCAAATTATAGTACATACTGTCAATAAAATAATTTTTGATGTAGTTCCTGAACCATTTCTCTACTGAATAAATAATATCTTAATTTTTGTCCCCCCGAAGTCTTATCTGCTTTTTGTGATTTCTCCCCTGTTTATTTTATGTTAAAATCCTGTGATCAGATTATTTCAATTTTAAAGAAAGAACTAAACTATTGATATGAGTGAGTGTAAACTGTGATTTTGACTTTATGCATTTTTTATACTTAACATTAAGTATTTCTGTTTTAAACTAGTTTAATACAGGTGCAAGGTTCAGAGGCCTGGCATAACCTGGTAGTTAGGGATGCATAACTCACAATATGAGGGTCAAGAGTTTGAATCCCTGTCACTGGACGTGGTCGTCCTATATGGTTGCCAATTGAGCCAGCTCTCTTGGCTTACAAAACTACTGGCTGATCCCAAACTAGTTGGGATTAAGGTGATTAAGGAAAAAGAAGAAAATGTCATTATAAAATCTTTAACATGTCAAATATATTAACTCAAATAACTTGATAGAGAGAGAGAATTATTAAACATTAACATTTCACTACATGTCAACTTGAAGATTTCTGTATATATTTCTACCAGACTTTTTAGCAATACTGATAATTTATTAATAGTGAGGAACCAATAGCTGACTTGGAAGGCCATCATCCTTATCGAGTCTCGAGACTGGCATTTCATCCTTCAGGACGTTTCTTGGCTACATGTGTGTAAGTAATTCATGATGCTTAAAATATATGTAGGCTCAAAGGAATAAACAAAGCACAACTGGAGAATCTCAATAATTCTGATGTTTCTTTTATTGTGTATGTAATAATATTCATTAATAATTTCATGTGACTATTTTGTAAAATAAAACCTGAAAGAATGTGGGAATGTTGTTAATGACCGTGACTGTATTTTTAATACAACTTTGCAGTATTAACCCTATGTTTATGGGATCAGTTAATGGTGGTTTACCTTGTAACCACCATGAAACTATACATACGATAACTCTGAATATACTGAATATATCATCACAAAAGTTGGCAAGCTTTTAGTGAAAATTACAAGTGTTGCACATAGAAAAGCAGATTTTTCAATAATGTGTCTTTACTAAAGATTTGTGTGTGGCTGTATATAAAAGCTCTGTTCTTCACTCCATTGCTGTGTATTTTGAATTAAAATAACCTTCTAAATGTAACTTGAGAACTTAAACAGCAAAAATACAACAATTACTCTCGTAAATGACAGGTCTGTTCTTAAGATGTGGGAGTGAATATTGTGGAATTTTCAGGTGAAACTGTATTCCTCAAAGACTATTTATTTAGTACACTGTATATCAGGAGGATTAGCAGGATACATTACAAAGTATAATGCTGAATTTAGCTAAAACTAACTGAATTTGAGCAAAGGAATAAACAGAAAGGACTTGATGTGTAACACACAATGAAAACACTATTAATTCAAAAACAAAACAGTGTGCATACTTACTTCTGGATTCATGAACTGATTAGACTGGTGTTTTCTAGAGATGTATTCTTGCTAACCAGTTCATTAAAGATCTAGAACATGAATGTTTAAAGCTAATATTTGTTTTACTTTTGAGAAACACTTGATTTACTCATAGTGACTAGTGCTAACCATGTGAGTAATCATTCTCATTCAAACATAGGGGAGGCTGTTACCTTGAGATATCCTCCGACCTACCACTGGAGGATGCTTGTTTTTGAATAGTTCATTTAGTATAAACTATAGTACAAGTTGAGCTCTACACATACAAATATACCCTGTATTAACTTAATGATCTTGAATTTGGCTTAACAGACTGACCATGCAATTACTTGTAGATTTGACCATTCATGGAGGTTATGGGACTTGGAAGCCCAAGAAGAGGTTTTACATCAAGAAGGTCACAGTAAACCCGTTTATGACATTAGTTTTCAGTGTGATGGGTCTCTAGCTGCCACAGGGTGAGTAAACCTATGTGACGTTTGTATCTAGTAGCCACACGTTAAGTAATCATCACATTATGTTTCAGTGAATTGGGTTTAAGCTGCTATAGGCTTTAATAGTTAGAACTTAATTTGATAATATTGTATTATTCAAGATAAATTGTAGTGTAAAGCATCCTCAACTAAAGTTCCCCTAATCTTTTAAAAGATTTTTCTAACAAAACAATGTCTGTATATTTATACTCAGTCATATATTGTTTATTTATAATGGCACAGAAATGTATGTTTTATGTTGATACAGAGGAATGGATGCCTTTGGTCGTGTCTGGGATCTTCGTAGTGGGAGGTGTATTATGTTCATGGAAGGACATCTAAAATCAATCTTGGCAATTAATTTTTCACCAAATGGGTATGAAATGAGTTTTGTTTTTGTAATTTCTTCTTATTGTACCGTAAACCTGCTTAGTAGTAAGTACTGTATAACCATTACTGACAAAAAAAAATATTTTGTTAAATAAAACAACTTGGAATTTAGTACTTTATCTTAATTTCAAATTTTGTCTTCATAATAGAATTTAACATACTTTAAATAATATACCACATAAAGTTTTAACAACATTGTTATAGTGTTTTGGCTAAATATTGTTAGAACTTTATACTTTAACCCCAAATAAAGTTTCTATAGTTTGCTAATGAAACCCCTGATCATTTGTGGCCTGCAATTTTAATATTAATAAGTAAATTTATAAGAAGAGTTTAAAATTACTTTGATTACGTGTTTTATTTATATATTATAAATAACTTTATAAATATTTTAGTGTTCTATCACCTTCTCTGTTTTTGAAAAAATCCTATTGAATGACTGATGAATTTAATCATTGGGAGCTATTAGGTTGTAGTTTTTGTAGGGTGGGGGGTAAGTGTTGATGTTTATCATTGGTAATGTGTTTATAAATGCTTCTTTAGACTGTAGCCATTTTCAAATGTTTATTTTTAACTGACACAATAAAACTTCAATTACAATTTCTAGTTATGTCTTATTAGTGTGTAGAATCGGTATTTAGTAACTTTAATGTGATAGTCATTAGAGAAAAACTCAAGTGATTATTAAAGAACATGCTGTTTCACCTGCTAGGAAATGTTTTAACTTCAGTTTGTTGAATAGAGCCTAACTTAATTTTTAGGGCTTTGCCAATATGATAGTGTAGGTTTAATGAGAATATAAAGCACCGAGTAAAGTATTATAGAATACTTCAGATACTGTAAAGTCCTTTCTATTTATGTCAAATATTTTCATGCTCAGTCTTTGTGCATATGTCTTTATTTGCAAAGAAGAGTAAAAATACAGTTTTAATATCTCCATGTCTCTGTTTTGCATGTATTACCTTAATACAAGTGCTTCTGAATTTAGCTTTTGTCTCGTATTCTTCCAAAACTTTTAACTTTTTTAACTCATGTCAAAAGTGTACATAGTTTTTAAAGATGTAATTTAACATGCTAAAATTAATTAGTTTGTGAATTTTTTCATGAATTAATATTTTTGTACTGGCTTTGTATTAATTAAAATAGATTGAATATAGAGATGTAGTAGCAAAGTTTCAAACTGAACAGTTAACGTAATGACAACTCACAATTCAAAATATGATTATGGAGTGTGTTAATTAAAATTTGTTTGCATTTTTTATGGTGATGAAAGGTATCAAATAGCTACAGGCAGTGAAGATAACACAGTGAAGATATGGGATGTGCGACAACGACGTTGTGAATACACTATTCCAGCACACACCAATCTTGTCTCCCGAGTCATTTTTGAAAGTGAGTCCACTGAACATGGCCGAGTTTTTATTAGAATATTTAAATTTTAATATGTGCTAGAAATAAATAAATTAGTATTTGAAAGAAACTGAGACGATTTCCAAAAATGGCTGACTGACATGAGCTTTTTATAATTTTTTAAATTACTTGCATATCCTAAATCATAAATATAATTCAGTTTTTTGGGCCAAAAATGTTAAGATGTTTCTTAAGTATTTGAGTAATTTCTGATAATACTGTATTTGAATATTACAGAAAACAATGGTCACTACCTCATTACTACATCCTACGATAACTGTCTAAAGGTATGATAAGTATAATATCTATATATATAGTTTTTATGTTCATTTTAATAAAGATTTCTCCTAAACTTATTATTCATTTTGACTCCAAGTCAAAGGTATCATGTACCATCTACAGTCATAAAAAGGCTATACAACATGCTGAGCAAAAACCAATGTTCATTGCAGTAAACATCTGTAGACTAAAATACAGTCTGAAGCTTCACGACAACTATTATAAACTGGTTATTTCTGTCTCAGAAACCCCTAAAATTTACCCATTTTGAGAAACCCCTCGAGTTCTTTCAAATGGTTTTTATCAACTAAAAATCAATTACTGATGTCTAACATTAAGTAACAACTGAAACACTGATACAAAGTTATTCTGAGTCTCTAAAAAACAGCTCTAGGTCATGTTTTAAACTTAATTTGAACAAAATGTAAGATTAACTGTTATGAAGTAGCATTATAAATTTTATCTAGTCCTAAAATTCGTTGATCATCATTCTCTGTTTATAAATTTTTCTAAACTTGCTATAAAATTAATACAGTTGTAGATTTTCTAGGTCTAGCCATTGTATTCAACATGCAGTTTACCATAGAAAATAAATTAGAGAGATAGTGACAGTACAAACTTATTGTTAATATCATGTAACATAATTTTCAGTATAAAGATATAATAATATCATACGTGCATTACATGAACCAAATTATCAATCCACAAATAGGTAGATGGTATGTTTACAGAGTTACACTGCTAAGATCGGTGGTTTGATTTCCCGTGGTGAACAGAGCATATATTGCCCATTTTCTAGTTGTATGCTACAATATAACATACTAAATTATACCAAATTATGAGGAGTTTTGTATTTGTTTTTCTTTTAATTTTTATCATACACTTCAAAATTTGTAAATGTACAGTTTGTGGGTAAAGTTGCAGTTAAAATATATAGTATCCAAATTTCATTATCACTATAAAGCATATTTCATCTTTTGTTAATGTGGGTGTTAAAGTAATAACTTTGTTTTGTAACAGATTTGGTAAAATTATATACACATACTATATGGTAAGTTTAACAGTCAAAACTTTAAAAATCGTTGTAAGTTCACTTATAAAACTTTAGACTTTACATATAGAAATGTTTGGTTTTAACGTCACCATCCTTACACTTAATTTAACCACTAACTATACCTAATATTATGACCTAACACTAAATACAGTAATACCTTTTAGTGGCACCAACTATTAAGCTCATTATTCTTAACCCATTTATGAAACTTACTATTAAAAATGAAAAGGCTAATATTATGAAATATTCACTTTTTTGTTTCTCCCTCACTAAATCTTTTATTAATTGTAAAATGTATAATTATTAACAGTGCTTTTGTTGTCATTTATATTACAAATCCTTACATACTGATTTTCCCTCCGAGTGACTCGGCAGTAAGTCTGCAGGCTTACAAAACTAAAAATCAGTATCTTTGGCAAGCAGAGCACAGTCAGCCAATTGTGTAACTTTGCCCTTAACAACAACTAAACTAAACATTTTAATTTTATGAACTCTGTATAAACACGTCTGCACCTTGAACTGTAGCATGTCTTGCACATGATGCATTGCTCTTGTAAAACTGAAATGAATAGAATTATTTTGTGGCTTCTTTGGTCTCTATGATGATCATTCTTGACCAAATAAAAGTATTAAGAACAAAATATAAAATTGCTTAAGAAATATCCACAGTTTTTAAAATATGTTTGTGTACATTATATATTGAGTGATTATGGTATTACTTCCGTGTATGAGGCATCATCTTGTAACTTTTTATTCAGAAGATTTTAATCAAATCCAGATTTACTATTCTAAGCATTGTAATAAACCTTGTGATTCAGTTGCATCATGGGTATCAGTGCTTTATAAAATTGTGATATTTTAACTCCAGGCAGTGTAGACATTTAACTTTTTAGTAAAGTCATTTTGTCCCATTTTCAACACTTTTAGTTCATTTTTATTCCCAGTTACGCTTGTTTTATGTGTTGGATCTCTTTATACATTCTGTGTTCTGTACATGAGTTTTTTGTATTTGTAAAATAGATGTTACATGTTTTGTAGCTCCCTATTGCTTTTTGTTGTTGTATTAAACTATTTTTATTATTCTTAGTTTAACAAAATACACATCATAATTATACTTGTCAGAAGACGTTAATATTAGGCCTATTGTATTCTTGAACACTACATTCCTCATCTAGTCCCTTGGGGATTTCCAAGTATTAAAAAGTTGCATAATAATAGCATTCCAACCACATTATCCCAGCTGGTCTGAAGAGTTCTGGATTAAGCGAAACACATCATCGGCAGTGGATATAGCAAATATAGTGTGGTTGGAATGCTATTATTATAATACACTTTTTTAATTTTGAAAATTCCTAAGGGACTATATGAAGACTGTAGTGTTTAAAAATATATTAGGCCATAAGAAAGTACTCACCATATTACTGTTTTATTGCATTAAACTCTTCAGTAGGTCTAATTTAACAAAGCCACATTGTCTTGATATATATATTTTTTAAATTTTGTAATATGTTATATGTGTTTTATAGGTATGGGCACATCCAGGTTGGACACCAATCCAGACTTTGAGTGGTCACGATGGCAAAGTGATGGGAGCTGATATTTCTCCCAATGGGAAGTACATTGCTACATGTTCTTTTGATAGGACTTTCAAGTTGTGGTCTCCAGAGTGAAGTGTAAAGTGCTGATGAAAGAGTCAGTTACTAACAGCAAAAAGTAATAGTGTGATGTAAAGTGTCGTGAGGGAAACAGTAATTGTGCATTATTTCAGCCATGTGGATATTCTTACGGCTCAATGAGACAAAATTTCGTATTCCTTGAACCTTTCTGCAGCACTGAAGTATAAAAAGGAAAGTATGTGGGAAAGTACCATATTAGCTTCCTGCTAAGGTCGAAAAAAGTAACAGTATTTTCATTATGAAGTAAAATATTTAAATAAAAACTTGCATGGTTTAATAAGGAGTTGGAGAAAAGTACATTGATGCTTTAATACATGTTGAATATATTAGTATATTTTTTAACCAAAAAGACATGAAAAAGTAAAATATAAATCGACATCGTATGTATGGTACTCGTAGCTAACACAAAATTTAGAAAAGTAATAAAACATTTCTTTTTCTGGTTTAAATAATTAAGATTTTCTTCATACAATGCATACAAGATAGTGTGTGTTGAAAAGTGGCCTAGTGGTTGACACGTTCAAACAGTTGCCACAAAACATGCCCCACACTTTGGATCTGTGGGTGTGCTATGAGAATGGTGGTCATATCACATTTTTTGGCTAGACAAGAGCAGCCAAAGAGGTGATAGTGAGTGCTGTTGACTAGCTGTCTTCCCTCAAGTCTATCACATCAAAACTGGTTGTGTACAGATAGCTCTTTATGTAGCTTTGTGAGAAAATTCTGAAACAAATAAAACCAAAAGTATATATCCTTTTCTTTTTAAGGCATGTGAACAGCATACAGCAATGCCTTTTTTTCTTAAACTGTATACTTGATGAATTTTAACTTAAATTATGAGCTGTATTTTATTGTTCTTTTCGTTTTCTAAAGCCATAATAATAATTGGCTAGCTTAACTGAAAACTTTAACTGCCTTTTGCATGTTCTGATACTTTTTTTTTACTTTTTCAAGTTTAGCACGTGCATAATCTCTCTTTTTATTTTGTCTGATGCCTGAGATGTAGAAATATTTAAACAGTTAATTTATGTAGACATAGAAGTAGAATATACTTGATGAAGGAAACACATTATTTGTAAAAACTTTGCGAGTTTATACCAAACATAATAATTTCACTAATTTGTTAATAAAAATATTTAATTCACTTCTTTGCTTAAACATTAGAGTTACTGTTTTCTTATTTTATATAATAATTTGGAAAAACTACCTAAATGAAAAAGGTTTTTCCTGTTACCATTATTTAACAACTTTGGCACTTAAACCTGAATTAATATTAAATTTAGTGAAACATTAGGAAAATTAATATTAAGAAATCTTTGATAGGTTGTTTAGGCAGAGTAAACCTACAAATGTAGGTTTCTACAACAGACAGTTGCTGTCCATTTGAAACTTAGATTCAATATTAAAAAACTTTTTTTTTTACTAGATTTAATGTGAAAAATAATATTTATAATATTCTTTGAAATAATATATTACTGGTATAAAAATGATCAAATCAACATGTAAAAACTTAAAAGTAGCCCGCCAGTGGCGAAGTACTATGTCTGAGGACTTATACCATAAGAAATTGGGTTTTGATACTCGTGGTGGGCAGAGCACAGATAACCCATTAAGAGTCTTTGTACTCAACTACAAACAAACAAAAGTAACTTTTCATTACTAAAATATTTAAGCTCTTAGTTTTTGCTTAAAATGTGCAAGATTAGTATTAGTTATTATTTCATTATGGGTATGCTGAATTAAAAAATTAATTCACCATTAATATTGGGAATTTATTGAAAATCAACTGTAGAGGATCTTGTTTTTTTTACAAGGACTTTAAAGGCCAATTGAAATACAAGTAACCATAGACCAATGTTGGTCAAAAGTTAAGTCTTTGTGTCATATTATTTTTTAATTGTTTGATATTTTAGAAGTGTGAGGGTGCCAGGAAACATAAGATTGATGCCTTTAATCCAAATTACACTCTTATTGTATGTGAAATAGAGTCACATTGTCTAATATGGTAAGTGTTTTGAATCAAAAAGTGGTTGAAGTTATTTTATCAATTATTACACATTATTCCGTAAAAGAGATTTAATCATTCATTTTGCTTTTACTAGAGAGTCTACATAAAAACAAGTTTTTGGGAAGATACATAATAAAAATGATGAAGGACTAACACTGTAAATAATAACAAAAGAACTTTCAAAACTAAGAATTCTTGTTTTAAAGTTACTGAAATTAGTAACAGATGATGCAAATGTAATGATGACTAAAATTAATGGTGTGAAGTATATATGAAAGATATATTACCATTATTTTTTTTTGCATTCATTGCATGGTATACAAATTAGCACAATATGCATCTGATGTTGTCTGAGACTTAGTTCTTGAACAAGTTCCAGGTTTTCTGAAAAAAATTCAGCTTTTCTCATGCAGGTGAAAAGAAGTCTTACATTAAAGTGTTTCACTGGTATGAACTCAACAAAGTGAGAAAAACATTTCATTGTAGCCTTATTTTAGTCATGGAAAACTGGTCATTAGTTACAAATATATGCCACACCAGTTGATTTTTTTTGCAGGTCAATGTACATTTTTAATTTATAAAATGAGGCAAATGTTTTCTAAATATTTTGGTGGTCATTTACTTTGCTACACATTCTAGTTGAAAGAACTTCTCAATTAGCATTATACTTGTAATTAACACAGAAGTGTTCTATACCGTGTGTTGAGCCTGCTGTGAACATCTGGTGTCCCTCAATTAAGGTGTAACTTGGCAACAAATATAGCAAGTTTACTCAGAATAAATTATAAATGAATGATCAAGTGTTTCAAGATGTTTTCACTGAGTGCAGTTCCATGGAGAGTATGTAATGTTAAGCATGCTGAATAATGAGAACAGATATTTAAATAACTTACATTTATTGAAATATAGACATTAGGGAAGTTACGTGTTTATTGGATTGTATGTGACACACATAACTAGGGTTGATTGTTACTTGATGTTGCTTGAAAATCAAGCAAAAGAGGTGTGTGTGTATCAGATATTTTGATAAATCCAATTTAGGGGTAATTTAGGAGAACAGTTTGTTACTTTTCTTATCATGCTGTTTTCCTCTTGTTTTGTTTGATTGAAAGAATAGGATGTGGCTTGTTAAGAAAAAGTATGGGCTAAATTTCAACAGTCTTTCTACATTTAAACCTTAATAACATGGACGTGGTCATAAATCACAGAATACAAATTCAGACATACAAAAGCTGGAAGTCAGTGGCTGTTATTTCACTGCCTCAGGTCACATGGTACTTCATCATTATTTTATCTCTGTAATTATCCAGGCCTGCCATGACCTGGTGGTTAAGAATTTTGATTCACAATCTGAGGGTTGTGTGTTCAAATCCCTGTCCCGAACATGCTTGCCCTTTTAACTGTGGAGATGTTATAATGTGACAGTTAATCCACCATTCATTTGTAAAAGAGTAGCCCAGAAGGTGGTGTTGACTAACTCCCTTCCCTCTAATCTATCACTGCTAAATTAGAGAGGGCTAGCACAGGTCAGCAGTAAGTTTACAGACTCACAACACAAATGTCTGGGTGTCTATTCCCCACAGTTGACAGAGTACATATAAGCCATCTTGTAACTTTGCACCAAGAAAACAAATTATAAAAACCTCTTTATAATCTGTTCTGTTGTATCTTTTATTTTACTCTCTTCTGATCTACCTTCAGTATGATAAACCTTATATATATTTCAATCTTCTATAAGTATACCATCTTTTTTTTTGCTGATTTAAAATTCTGAGATACTACAAGAAGGTAAACAATCACTATGGAAAACCTAAAACAGAAACAAATTATAAGCAAAACAGTGCATAGTTCTAAAATGGACAAACATATATATTCGGTTTTGAAAAACAAAATGTGATAAAAACAAATTCAGATTCTTACAAAACCATAATGATTTTACCAAAAAAGTAAACAACTATGTTAGAATTATACTAATGGTTTGTGTTAGTAGTGGAAATGTGGCCAGTTAGATGTACTGGCTTACCCAACTTTCACAGTTATATTTTTTATGGCATGACATACATCTGTGAACAAACCCACATGACCATTTTAACAAGTACATTTAATGGTTTTGATCCAATAATAATTTGAATCTACTGGATTAAAAAAACATGTATAGTTACGTTTACATTATTTGTTGTGGAACAATATCTTCTCAGGCTCAAAATGTGAGTTATGTAAATACATGGTAAAATAGATTTTTTCTTTCTCGTTGTTTTATACATATATTTAAATCACAGATTTCGGGCTCTACAATGATTCAGCGGCAAGTCTGAGGGCTTATAACGTTAAAAAGCGGGTTTTGATACCCACAGTGTACGGAGCATAGATAGCCCATTGTGTAACTTTGCGCTTAACAGCAAATATATAAATCGTTGGAAAACAGTTGGCGGTTGGTTGAGTTGACTAGCTAGCTATCTTTCCTCTAGTCCAGGGGTCACCAAACTTTTTTCACAGCGGGCTAGATAACTGAGAGAATGACGAGCGTGGGCCGCATAACCATTTTGTTCAATAGAATACACACAAAAATAGAGACAACAAACATGCTTATTTTCCAAAAGTTATCAAAGAAGGCGACGTTAGCAATAAGATAGTTATATCACACACACTGCGCATATATCCGAATCTCACAAACTAAGCAGCAAAAAAGGTTTGTGAGATTTGTGAAACTGTCGTTTAGCTTTTGAGATATCATCAATATTTGCTTTGGAATTGCTGCATCCAACCAAGAGAATTGCTTTCAAATGTTCATCAGTCAACCTCGTTCGATGTGCTGACTTCACATAATTCATTTTTGAAAATGTTTGCTCACAGACATAAGTTGTTCCAAACACTGATGCCATACCCGAGGCAAATTTCTTCAACTTTGAAAACTCATCATCAGGTAAGCAGCGATAAAATTCAACAAGTTTTCCTTCTCTTTCAACAAGTCATTTGCTTGCAAATCAATAAGCTCCAACTGTAGTTCGACTGGCACGTCATCAAGGTTACGATCAAACGGATTCTGGAACAGAAGAATGTCACTCTCAATTCTGTCGAGATCTGAAAATCTCTCCAAAAATGCTAATTTAAGTCACTAATAATCTTCTTCGGAAACTCGAGGTTGACATCTGCGATTCCAGCGCGAAATTCTTTGAAACACTGAAAATGAGAGAAGTTTCCTACTTCCAGTTGTGCTTCAAACCATGATAGGTTTCTCCGAAATCCTTTGATGATACTGTAGAGAACACAGATAAGGTTATCCTTT